TTCAGGCAATTCTCCTGCCTCAGCCTCCTGAGTAGCTGGGATTACAGGCACGCACCACCATGCCCAGCTAATTTTTTGTAGTTTTAGGAGAGACGGGGTTTCACCATGTTGACCGGGATGGTCTCGATCTCTTGACCTCGTGATCCACCCGCCTCGGCCTCCCAAAGTGCTGGGATTACAGGCTTGAGCCACCGCGCCCGGCCCAGTTTTGGAATATTTTAAGATCATTTACAACAAGAATCATTTTCAGGAGGCATGTGTGATAGATCTGATGTTTCAATTAAGTATGATTAAACCACTATTTAGAAAAATTTGAGTTTCAATAACCAACGTAGAATTCAGTGTATATAATGAGCATTAACTATGCCCCACACTGTAATAAACCAAACAAGCCCAGCCTAGAGCAGCACACTGGGAAGCCCTGTTAACTAGCTGTCACCGTCTTCCGGACCCCCCCCCCCCATCAGTGTTTTCAGCACCGATCACTGCTTTCTTCTTGAACACTAATACTAACGACATAGCCAAGAACACACCCAGAGGCACAAGGAGATAACAAAAGCACCCTTTCTTCCCATTTTTTTTTTTTTCTTCTAAATACAAGGTATCACTTACTCTGTTGTCCAAGCGGGAGTGCAGTGGCGTGATCTCAGCTCACTGCAACCAACTCCTGGGCTCAAGTGATCCTTCTGCCTTGGCCACCCATATAGCTGGGACCAGAGGCACATGCCACCATGCCCAGCTAATTTTTTTTATTTTTTGTAGGCAGAGTCACTATGTTGCCCAGGCTGGTCTTGAACTCCTGGGCTTAAGTGATCCTCCTGCCTTAGCCTCCCAGAGTGCTGGGATTATAGGCATGAGCCACTGTGCCTGGCCCCTTTCCAAATTTTATCTGATTTTAATAAGGTCATCAGTTTCCAGATTGGGGTGTCTGTTGTGTGTGTCAAGGATGAGATGCTCTTGTTCTGATAACTTCCCAACTTGCACGAACAACAATCTGCATATGTTATTATGGAAGTGATAACAAAGAGAGAAAGACATTATGTTTAGCACTCCCATGGCATGGTCTTATTTTATAAGCATTACCCAAGAATGTATTCACCCCAGTCTAAAATGACGGTTAAAGAGGTACTTTTTGAACAGTATTTCAATACCTCTTTTTATAACTTACCTTGGCAACCAACATCTGCTGCTGATTTTCAATCTGCTGCTGTTGCCTAGCTGCCATATCTTGGAGCTCTGAGAGGGTAAGTTCAACACGTGGATTCCCAACCTAAACAAAAAGCACTTATTTTGGAACATATGTTTGTCTGCATAACTGTCTTTCTCTATTGTCAAAACTCATACGTATCAGGACTTTAGACAGGATCCCTAGAATTGGAAGAGTACCAACTAGTTTATTTTTCTTGTAAGAACTTTTCCTAATTGTTGACTGCTTTTATTAAATATAAACAACTTTTTCAAATGCATAAACATCAGATACTGTATTTAGTAAGGGCTCAAGTTTAAGCAAACATTTGGCAATGTATATTACAAGTGACATTCCTCCTTCTGGAATGAAAATTTAGTAAGTATATTTGAGCAAATGAAGCTGTCAAATGTTTAAGAATATACAACCAAAAAAATAAATATGCAGGTAATACCTAAGAACTAATGTCATCTTGCTGTCAACTAGCCTCAGGAAATGAAAATATGTAACGGATTCTAATATATGAATACCTCACTAAAAACACTGTTTGTATGACTTACATGAAGAACTGACACATCATCCAAGAATTCCATATGTGAAATCAACACGCAAAGGTAACATCTAGAGGAATATAATTGGCTGTTTCTCCATTCTCTGTCAATGATACCCTGAACTAAACACTTTACATATATGGACCCATTTCAGCCTCAGAATGACTGATGAGGTGGGTACTGTTATATCCCCATTTTACAGATAAGCAAACAAGCACAGGGCAGTCAGCCTGTCTGGCACAGCAGAGACGCAGAGTCCCTGTTCTTGACTGTTACTCACAGTTCATTACTTACTAGGCCCACACCAAGTGCAGTGTACTGTGACAGACGTGTTATGAGCATTGTGCCATATGCTCTTCAAAACGAGTCTTCATGGGGCTGGGGGGGTTGTGTGAGCCCCCCTCTGGGTGAGGAGCAATGGGGGTGAGGGGAAGGAGCATGCCTGGAGGCATGCAGCTCATTAAAGCAGCAGAACTCCATTCTCACAAGCCGATCTTCTCCCAAACCCTTCAGTTCTGAGCAGGGAGGCCACACAGTCCCTCCTCAGACCCCCACATTCTATTTCTAGGTTCATTTATGCCCTTAGGACACCTTTTACCTTCCGCCACCCTTAAACCTCTTACAATTCTAAATAGTCAGTTACAATTCCTATTCCTCCAGCTCTGTGTCTTCCCAAACTTTTATAATATTTCAGCACATTCTTGACTACTGAAAAATGAGATCAGGATTTGTGTAACAGTCTTAACTGGAACCACCATTCTGTTTATCTAAAAAAATCTGGAGAAAGCAATAAGGTACAAGACTTTTTTTTTTTTTTTTTAAATTTAGAGACAGACTCTCTCTGTCACACTCTCTCTCTGTCAGGCTGGGGTAACATGGCACAATCACTGCAGCCTCAAGCGATCCTCTTGCCTAGCCAGGATTATAGGCACACGCCACCATGCCTGGCTGATTTTTAAAATTTTTTGTAGAGGCAGGGGTCTCACTATGTTGCCTGTGCTAGCCTCGACCTCCTGGGCTCAAACAATCCTCCCATCTGGGCCTCCCAGAGCGCTAGGATTACAGGTACAGGCTACTGTGCCCAGGCTTAAACACTTTTTGACTAAAGGAAAACTACGTCCATTCAACAAATCTTTCAATTTACATTAATTTCGTAATTTCACAACTTGAAGAAAAAAAATAAAAAACTATCTTTCTGGTCTCTCCCACCAATGGCTTTATGAAACAGTGAAAAGGGGACAGAAAAGAAAAAAAAATAAAAAGAGAAGAAAAGAGGATAGAAGAAAGATTTAACTGTCTGGTGTTCTGATGTTTATATCTGTGAATAAGGTACGGCTTATTAAAATATTTTACTTACTAAACCAAAAAGTATTTTATTTGCCAATACATACATTTATACTTGCTTTATGTTACATGTGTTTTTCTAAGTACAAAATTAAGATATGCCATGTTGTCATAAGTAATTCAGTCACTGTATCTTATATATCAACTTATATTGTAATGAAATTGTATTGAAGAGCTTACATATAGAAAAGTGTAATAAATCATAATGTACAGTTCAATGAATTATTTCAAAGTGAATATGCCTGTGTGATTTAACTGTATTTTAAATGGGCTATATAAACATAAGCTACCATAAACCTGTAAGTCAACGAATATGTAACAATTTACATTTTAGTAATTGTGCAATGTGAAAATTTAGAAAAAAGAAGCCCCTTTTCCACAGTTTTAAAGAAAACGAAGACCTTTCAATGCAAATTTGATTTTTTAATAATAGGCCTCTCACTGTACTACCTGTAAACTAATCCCTATTTACAAATTAAAATTTTTCACACAAACTCAATTTTCTCAAACCTATTATCTAATTCTTCCCTGTTTTTCTTCACTGATTGCATCTAATAAGAAGAAATCAAACCATGTTCCCTCAGGCAATTCCAGGTTCCTAATTACGGAAGAGTTATCAGATGAGTTCAGCTCCAAGTCACTCAGCACAAGCCACTTCCAAAAACTAAGTTAAATTAGCAATAAAGGTCTCTCAGCAACAGCCAGGCAGGTGCCTACAAATATGAGATCCCCAAAAAGAAAACACCCCACCAGCCTTAAGCCTGCTCCAATGATCCTGTTGGCAGGGACCACCACTTGCAGCTCGGGGATCCAGATACCCTCTAACGCCAACGTTCACTACTTGACCTATGGATTCCAGGAACAGTGTTTCTGCTCCTGATGAACCCAGATCACTCTCCAGCCTCAAACTAACATCACTTCTTTTCCACAATAAACACGGCTCACTCTGCCTCAGGTCTAACTGGTCCCCCACCCCAACCCCACCATGAACAGACAGAAAGAGAAGCTTTTAGGATCACTTATCTGATCGTATCACTGCCTTCTTTCTCCAAACTTCCACAAATTTACTTGTGAAAATGATAAGAGACTTTATTAGCTAGCTTACAAAATTTTTATAAACAAAATATTTGCCTGACAAAAGATTTGTACCAGGCACTCACGAGGTAACCAGAGAGTTCACAAGACTTGGTCTTGACAGCAATAGGTCCTGGCCCAGTACCCAGTCACAGCATCAATAACCTGTTTTCTGGAGTGGACTCAGGTGACCCAACACTCCCTCATCTTCCCACCACGTCCCATAAGGCTCCAACATGGATGGCATCTTTTCAGACTCAAAGCCCACACTGCTTTTCATTCATTCGTATGGAAGAGTCTACATCCTCCTTACCATTTAACTCTCTCTCCAGATGCTTCTCAACATTTCCCTCACCCAAATTGTCTCCAGCTCCTGTCACCTCCCTTCTGATCACATCCCCTAATCTCTGGCTGCCTAAAAAGGTGCTACACTGGGACTTCATCAATGAAGAAGCTCAGCCATGTGCCCAAGACCCCCCTGACAGCAAGGGGCAAGGCAATGCCCTCTTCCACACAACAGGTCCATCATGAAGGTATCAGGAGAACACATATTCTCTGAGTACCACTATGTTCAGTATCACAGTAACATAACAGTCCATTTACCTTCCATATGCCAGGTGCCATCCTAGACACTGTAGGCAACAGAAAAGTAGAATGTCTCTCCATTTTCAATGAGCCTCTATTCCAAGGAAAGAGATGAGAATCTCACATGGGAAGCAATTAAATTACCTTATCCAATTCAACCATGAGGAACAGAAATAGAGAGCAAGTTTTCTGTATACTTGTATTTTCACTGTGAAATAAAAACAGCATTTCTGGCATGCCTATAATCCCAGCACTTTGGAAGGCCGAGGGGCGGATCAACTGAGGTCAGAAGTTGGAGTCCAGCCTGGCCAACATGGCAAAACCCTGTCTCTACTTTAAAAAAAAAAAAAATTAGCTAGGTGTGGTGGCACACATCTGTAGTCCAAACTACTTGGCAGGCTGAGGCAGAAGAATTGCTTGAAACCCAGGAGGCAGAGGTTGCAGTGAGCCAAGACTGCACCACTGCGCCCTAGCCTGGGCAACAGAGTGAGGTTCTGTCTCTTAAAAAAACAAAACCACCACCAAAAAAAATCCAACAGCACTTTCCAGGGTAGCAGTGAGGATGTGGAATGTCACCATGCACTCTTGTAAAAGTGCACTGTTCGGGCTGGCACCCACTCTGAGAAGTGCATAAAAAGAAGCAGGACATTTCATTGCACCATACCCAGCTAGCCTGGTTATGGGAATTACAGGACTGAAGATAAAAAGACGTTTCTTAAAATCTCCCACTCTCAAATAACGAGTCCAAATGAGAAGCTAAACCTCTATACCTGATCATTCCTGACTGTGCCGAAATTCCAAGTAAAAATATTATCTTATAAAACCCATGATGAACAAAAATAAAACATAATTTAAAAACTTTTTAATGGTCTTATATTTAAGACTGTCAACTTAAAAAAAATAAGCATATTAACACTAGTCCACTTCAGATACAAAACTTCAAAAACTGCTTTATGGTAAATAAGTTAACAAAATGAAATAACAGGCCAATTTTAGAAACATACCACAGGCCAGGTGCAGTGTTTTGTATTCAATTCCTAATCAGTATTTGATGCTGTCACAAAAGGTGAAACTTAATTACCCTCTTTTAAGATAAAATGTTGCTTTGGGACCTGTAATTCCAGCACCTGGGGAGTCTGAGGTGGGTGGATCACCTGAGGTCAGGAGTTCAAACCTAGCTTGGCCAACATGGTGAAACCCAACCCTGTCTCTACTAAAAGTACAAAAATTAGCCATGCATAGTGGCACACGCCTATAGTTTCAGCTACTCAAGAGGCTGAGATACATGAATCACTGGAACGCAGAACGCAGAGGCTGCAGGTTTCACTGAGCCAAGATCGTGTCACTGTACTCTAGCCTGAGCGACAGAGAGAGACTGTCTCTAAATAAGTAAATAAGTAAATAAAACGTTAACCTCTTTGCAAAGAAAGGATTTTATGTAAGTGGAATTTTGATTTGATATGTAATAAAAGTGCATAAATATGCCCATAATTAAACTAGCAACCCCAAAGGTACTAATATCAGATTTTTAACAAGTAAACTAGCCCATGATTTAACAAAAATTAGATATAAAAAGGGGGCTTACTTTCCATTTAAATCTCTCATCTGCATAATTATGTGTATGAGTCAGGACTCAGAAAGCTACCAAAATAACATATTTTGATAAACAAGCCATCAGAACTAGATTTTTTTTTTTTTTTTTTGAGACTGAGTCTTGCTGTTGCCCAGGCTGGAGTGCAGTGGCACAATCTCGGCTCCCTGCAACCTACTCCTCCCAAGTTCAAATGATTCTCCTGCTTCAGCCTCCCGAGTAGTTGGGATTGCAGGTGAGTGCCACCACATCTGACTAATTTTGTATTTTTAGTAGAAACAGGGTTTCACTATGTTGGGCAGGCTGGTCTCAAACTCCTGACCTCAAGTGATCTGCCTGCCTTGCCCTCCAGGAGTACTGGGATTACAGGCTGAGCCACAGTGCCTGGCTGGAACTATATTTTTAAAGGCACTAAGAAACAATTAGCCTAGCCAACATGGTGAAACCTCATCTCTACTAAAAATAAAAAATGTGCTGGTTGTGGTGGTGCGCACCTGTAATCAGCTACTCAGGAGGCTGAGGTAGGAGAAATGCTTGAACCCAGGAGGCAGAGGTTGCAGTGAGCTGAGATCACGCTACTGCACTCTTGTCTGAGTGACTGAGTGAGACCCTGTTGAAAGAAGAAAAAGAAGGAAGGAAAGGAAGGAAGGAAGGAAAGAAAGAGTGAAGGAAAGAGGGAAGGAAGGAGGGAAGGAAGGAGGGAAGGAAGGGAAGAAAAGGAAGGAAAGGAAGGGAAGGAAAGGGAGGGACGGAGGGAGGGAGGGAAAGGAAAGGAAGGAAGGGAGGGAGGAAGGGAGGAAGGGAGGGAGGGAAGGGAAGGAAGGGAAGAAAAGAAAGAGAGAGGGAGGGAGGAAAGGAAGGGAGGGAGGGAGGAAGGGAAGGAGTGAAGGGAGG